CCCCTTGTGGGGCCACAACGTCAGACCATATCTTGATGTCCTCAAATTTGACCTTGACCAACGTGGCCCTTTTCAGCTTGTCTAAGGGAAGCTCTCGGAGACGGTCTGCGGTACTGAAGAACACCATATGTGGGTTAGCTCCAGCATTCAGGGCGTCACAGATCAGACGCCTGCCTTCCAGGAGGATTTTACCTTGGTGCTCCCGAAACGTCCTGGAACGAGTGATGCTAACTAACTTCCTGAAGGAGGTTCAAGGGGAGATGGAGAGACAAGGATCAATCACAGGCAGTGTGAATATGAGTTATTGTCAACATTCATACAATTTGGGGGAAAAATAGAGCACTTCAAAACGGACTTATGTTACACCTTAATCTGAGACTGAAAAAGAAGATAAAGTAATATGATTAAACAAAAAGAACCTTTAGCTTTAATGCCAGTATTGTTAATTGCAGTGGTGGAAAGTAAGTTACTCTATTTTAAGCAAAATACACAATATCTATAGGCCTACGTATAGTCTAGTAACATAATATAATTCTGATATTAGATAAAACAATATCTAAAAAACAGTCTTGCAAATAGGCCCAAGTACTTTTACTTTAATTTATATTTTTACTTGAGTTAGATTTTAAATGATGGACCTCAACAGAGGGGTTTTTTACACAGTAAATATTGCTAATTTCAGTAATGTAAAATATCTGAATACTTCATTATTGTAAAACTTACCCCAGTCTTTTATCTCCAGCGAAAGCCCTCTCGAAGGGCAGTCCATCAATTTGATCCTTTGTACCTGTAACATGGGCATGTTTTGTAGTCGCCTGCACATTACTCCTCGCTTTAACAAATTCTTCTTCAGGATGCTTTATTGCAGCTTTGACTTTTTGCCCCTTCTCCCTGTGGACGTCTCGTCCCGCTGGCTGAGGCCGAGGCTTGACGACTTTATCCGCCTCGTTTTCAGGGAACAACACTCGGACTGGTTTCCTCCTCAGTCCACGTGCATACCGCTTGGTTTCCACAATAACACCACTTCCCCTTGAGTGTAGAAAAACGTTTCGCTCAATGGAAACAAGACTTATCATGCTTCTTATGTAGGCAGCCATGTTTGCCTCGTGTCTTCTTCTCTTGTTTCACAGAACGTCGCACTAACACAAGCTCTGCCGCCTATCGCCTCTCTGAGTGAAGGCAATACTACATGTAATCTTCATCTCTAGTGCCTCAATTCGAGTTAAAAGATACCCTGTGTAGCTAACACACACTTTCAATTTTTTTGAATGTTGTATCTTGTATTCTTATATTTTAATTTCCTATTTTGGAGTGTCAAAGTTGTTGTTGTTCAGCATATGAATGAGTTTGGGTAATTATGGGGTGGGGACAAACGTATTGTATATCTATTATTTGTATTAAATACAAATTATATTATTGATACAATAATTATTATATGATTAACAAAAGTATTAAACATAGATGTCTAAAGACTTTAATGCTGTTTTCTCACTTATATTTACTTTTCGCTCATCGATGTCAGAATAATCGATCATCAAGGATGAGTAATCGTTCACTGAATCTCGATCGGCACTACAGACATCCTCCTGTCACTAAACATGGCTTTGAGACGAGCGCTGCATTTTGTTTTCAAAGTTGGTGACAGGGCCAAAACTGCCACGTTTTATCGAGATGTTCTGGGCATGAAGGTACTCTTTCTGAGGTTTATTTTATAGCCAGAAGCCATTGATGAACTTTTGTGTTGTACAACGTGTGTAGCTAGCTAATTCCTCTTCTGTCACATGAGTGAACCCCAGCTAGACTCCATTATATACATATGAAGTGTATATAAAACCACTTATAGAGCATATTTGGTGCAACCAGAGTCTTTTTAATAAACGTGTTCTCATACTTATTATTCCATTTCAGATGTTACGTCATGAAGAGTTTGAGGAAGGCTGCAAAGCAACGTGTAATGGGTAGATATGACACCTTTGAACTTTGAACTTACAAAGCTGTATAACACAGACGTATAGAGCTGTTATTGTCCTTATACCGACGTCTCCTCTCCCCCTGTGTCTATACAGTCCCTACGATGGCAAATGGAGCAAGACAATGGTGGGCTTTGGTCCAGAAGATGACCATTTTGTTGCTGAACTGACATACAATTATGGGGTGGGAGAGTATCAACTTGGCAATGACTTCCTGGTGGGTGAGAGTTCATCTTCCAAACTTACAGCACCATGTCGTGTTTTACTGGGTACAGTCTTCTAAAAGGATATTGACACATAATGTGTTTACTTCAGGGACTCACTTTGCAGTCGAGCCAGGCTGTAAGCAATGCTAAACGCCTGGGATGGCCTCTCACTGAGGTGGGAGAGGCTCTGTATCTGACCCAGGCCCCCGGAGGGTATCCATTCTACCTTGTGGACAAAGAGCAGCCTTCTAGTGGTGAGTGTCACATGTCTGCATGATGACAAGGAGTCGTCCCTGCAGTTTATCGAGTGTTTAAAACAGTCCAACTTTGCATTTGTGTCACAGCTTCACAAATGCAAAGCATTATACATTTATTTATAGCAAAACTCATTCCTTTTTATTTTACTGGTAAAACTAATTAAACTAATCCAAATATATGTTGTATTTTATTGAGTAAATAATTAATTGATTAATTAATAAACAATAACATTGAATGAAAAAATAATAATTATCTGCAGGTGCAAATACTTAAAAAAAAAATATTGAAATACAGATAAATAATTGCTTTGTATTGAAGCCTCTAGTAGTCTATAGTATGTTATAATATGTCATTTTTCACTGTCATTATTTCCTAATGGGATTTCTATGCAAACGACCCATATTAAAAACTAAGTCCTTCATGCAGTACTTAGCAGCAGGCACATTTGTTCTAAGACCCCGTGCAGAAGGTTTGTCTTGGAGTATCAGACCTCCAGAAATCGACCCACTACTGGACTAAGCTCTTGGGAATGAAAGTTCTGGAAAATAATGAGGAAAAGAAAACTGTGCTGATGGGATTTTCAGACAGTCAAGTGAGTCAAGTATTTAATAAATGTTTTTTGAGTTTATAAATTAGAACATTTATTTTACTCAGACTTTTTATTTTGTATCTTGATGCAGTGTAAACTGGAGCTTCATGATAACAGTGGGGCAGTGGATCATGGAACTGCTTTTGGAAGGATAGCATTTTCATGCCCACGTGAACAAGTAAAATATGATTTAATGGATACATTCTTGGCTGTTAATAACATTAAAAACAATCATATATTTGATCATAAATCATTGTTATTACATTCCACAGCTGCCTGGCCTTGAAGCATTGATGAAAAAGGAAAATCAGAAGATTCTCACTCCCTTAGTCAGCCTAGACACTCCTGGAAAGGCCACAGTAGAAGTGGTCATTTTGGCCGACCCAGTAAGTGCATTAAAAATCTAGCGCTGGAATTAAAGTGAAATTAGACTCTGTTATAAATGAAAAGAACTTAACTGGACAATTTTTGTTTTAGGATGGTCATGAGATTTGCTTTGTGGGTGATGAAGCTTTTAGCCAACTGTCTATGGTGGACCCCAAAGGAAATGAATTGCTTGATAAGGTTGGTGTTACTCAAGTATTAAACTCTCTTTAATATGATTTAATATGCACCATGTGTTTGATATTCACTATGTCTGTTTTATTTCAACTTTTAAACTTGTTTTTTTTCAGGCTATGGCCGAAGATAAAAGTGATGAGTGGTTTGCCAAACACAACAAACAGAAAGCTGCGGCATGAGATGAAGAGGTTTTGCACCACCCATTTCTCAACAGTTCATATAATGATAAGATGCTTTACAAGGCAACTGTGGTGTAAATCTCCTTGTTATGACAACTCAATTATCCTAAGGCTGGCAGTATGAAATGCATTTTCACCTGGAAGCATGCCATACAGCACAGTTGCATTGGCAGCACTTTGTGAAAGGACCAATTGTTCATTATGATGGACATTTTTCCAAATAATGTTTCTATCAATAAGGAAGAGATAGGGGCAATGTTAGGATCCTGTCGACCCTCCATAAAACCATTGTATAATACTATTAGGCTGCAAGATTCCTGTGCATAAGTTAGATGGATTGTCATAGAAAAAATCTACAGTGCAATCAAAACACAAGTTTAAATGATAAATATTAACATGATGTAATAAAATATCCTTATTGTTGCTATTTGAATTGTGTCATGTTGTAGAATGTTGTAGCAATAGTTCAGTCATGTGTTAAAATTAATTATGTGTAAAGATACATCATGTCAGTCATCATGTTGAAATAAATGTTGTCTCTTTAACTTCTCACCTTCGTTAAATAGTTTGATTATGACTGTGGGGTGTTGGAAGAAATATGTAAGTGTTTCTCTTGATTGATATAGGCTACCACAGCATAGAAGCACAAATCAAAACAACAAATCAAAGTCCTCATTCATAATGTTAAATAAAAAAAGCATTGGCATCAATATATTTAAAGTGCATAAAGTAAAAGTACTTGTGCAGAATGGGCAATTTCAGAATTATATATTACAATACTTTTTATAATAATGCATTAATGTGTGTTTCATTTTAATGTTGCTCCTGGTAAAGGTGGGTCTGATTTCAAAAGGAACTTTTACAGCTGTGTAGCTTACCATTGACTGTGTTGATTTCTTTTTGTGATAATCTAAATGGGCTTAAAAACAAAGGCTATCGTATACATGTAGTAGAGTAAAGAATAAAATATTTGCCTCTACATGTTAAAATAAGTATAATGGAAAAGCAGTACCTTCAAAATGGACTAAACGTTACTCCACCACTGTGACTGTGTGTTTGTTTTCTGTTTTATCTTTGTATGAATTGGTTTGGGTGTGATATATAAAAAATAGGTGACCTTTTAGTTTGAATGCATAAGTTAAAGATTAATATTTGCATACACCGTTTTTTGTTGGCGGTGCTCCAGCCACTGTAGCCCCACTTCTGGGCTGCAGGTCAGATGAAGTGCCAGCTGAGCAGGGCGGAGCATGCACAGTGTTGACTGTGAGCACAGAGTTACTGTCAGATGAAAGGGCTCTTTGCAGCGAAACACAATGCGGTGAATATGTCAGGGTAAGTCATCTTTATACTTAACTGGAGCCTGCGAAAGCAACATAAATCTACACTAGTTACCATAAACAATGCCAAGTTGTGTAGCAGTCTAGCAGCTGTGCTAGCTAAGTTAGCTGTAGCGTTAGCTTGTTAGCGCAGATTTGCTGCTGATTTTTGGATGACGCGGCGACAATCATCTTTAACTATTTCATGTCTGACTAATTTGGGCTAACTATGCTACCCTTAACGAGCCAATGTTCTACCACTGATTGGTAGTAAACAATGACTTAGTTTATGCGACATGTTTTAACACTGTTAGTGACAGTAGGTGATAAAGTTTAGCTACGTGCTGTATCATATTCTGTTTGTGACTGCACTTGTTAATTAGCCTTGTTAGCATTGTGATGCTAGCTGTTAGCTGAAACAAACAGAACCAACGTTTATTAATTCTCACAGCAGAGGTTGCTTAGCCTGTTGCAGTGATGGACAAGTTATTGATTGTTGTTTTCTAGCAACCCGTCAGTCCCACCTGAGTGTGAGGTGTGTTGAACTGAAGTGCATCTCTTCCTCTCTGACAGCAGCTGATAGAGGAGCAGCCAGACCCATGACCGAGATTTGGGTGTGAACAACTTGGGACACCATGTCTCTCTTGCTGATATCCTTCCTGTTAATTCTTCTGCTTGGGATTTTGTTGTTATGTTTCATTTTCAGGTAAGAAGTAATTTAATTCCTACAGTATATGTGATTGCTAATGATACTCTGTAGGCAACATTCAGTTTACCCCAGATAGGTCCTGTCCTTGGTTTTCATAGTTTTCTTTACATATTTTTACGAAATCAATGATTTTGTGCTCTTGTCTTTTGCTCCTAGGTGGCTCGTATGCACCCTGGCTGTGCGATTCTTCCAGACAGCCCTGAATGCTGATCTAAAGATCAAATCAGTCGGGCTGTTTTCTGTCCAAGGAGTTAGTATCCAGTTTCACCCCCAGCATACTCTGGTAAGACACACTGTGTTTACATGACATTTATGTAGTGAGCTCATTGGAGGCCACTATTCCCATTTTAGGAGTAAAAGTTTGACCAAAAATTATATCAAAGGTACTTTTTGACTTCACCATAAAAAGGGAATATCTTTTTGACAGGAAATTGACAGAATATGGATTTCAAGTAAACTTCTCAACCAGGATTTGCCGTAAGTTGTCACATTTCTTTGTCAGTTGGATAGTTAGAGATAAAATCTATCAGCAAATCAGTAAAATATTTGAATCCTTTTATATATGAAAATACAGTGGTTATTTGCAACAGCTAGTGCATGTTTGTGTTGCAGGAGGTACCTGGCGTTGTGTGTTGGCGAAACCAGAGTTAGGTTTGACTTACAAGCACCACTCAGACCTACGGTAACGAAGAGCCATGGGAAAAGGTCTGGGAAGTTTTCCATCAGCCCCACAACGCTACGCCTTCTGTCGCAAGTATGGAGCCTCACCGTATCTCAATCTTTAAATAGACTTATTTGTAGACATTATCTTACCCCTTCTTATCTATCTATTTTCAGCTACTGTCGTTCCACGTCAGCTCGATCAATGTGATGGTCCTGAACCTGGCACTGTCAGAGTCTCTATGGCACATGACAGTTACAGGCATCACCTTGTTACTTGACCACCAAAGTAAAAGGTGATGCACTCTATCATTTCTGTCTGCTATTGGTCTGATTTTACTATTACATTTAATAGAAATATACGGATGATGCTACAATTTCATTAACGTTTTAACTTTCATATCAGGTTGGCGTGGGACTTCTCAGTTGGACAGCTAAGCAGTAAAGTGCTTAAAAGCAGTCAGTTGGTAAGTTTTTGTAATTTCTCTGAGATGGACACTTGGGATTGAATGTGTGACTAACATGCTCTCCACTGTAGGATATATGTTTGGCTGAAGTGGCCCTGAGCCTGCTGCTGTCTGGAGAGGTGAGCCTACCGGAGATGAAGCCAGGCGGTCTGTCCCTGAATGTGAGGACACTGATCGCAGAGCTGCATGAAGGACTATTTCTCAGCCAACTCCTGCTGCCCTCGTCTCCCAAAAGGAGCATTCAGGATGCATCTGGTGAGCAAACGCAAAGTATAATCCCTGAAATTTCAAAATCATTATTAAAATAAAGCGACAAACTTGCTATGGCAATGACCAATCAATCTTGGGATGTTCAGCTCACATCTGGGATGCTGGTTGATTGCAGGAGTGCATGTCAACATTTATAACAAGTATATAAATGTAGTCCAACTGTATTTTTTTCTTTATTGCCTTATATAATCCTCTGTACTTGCACTTACAACAAGTACAGAATATGTTAACCATGACAACACTAAGGGTTATTTCCACTGACTTACATCAGCAAGCTTCTGCTTATTCTAAAATGTCTGGATGTCTACTGCAGTCTGTGATATTTTTAGCTGTTCTGCTAACCGCCAAGAAAACGAGGACAAGGTCATGTCGTACAACAACCTACTTTATTAACCTCTGTAGTTCTCTACATGCTCAGGGGAAAAGATAACGTTTAACCTCCTCGATCAAATGAAGTGTAGGTTATGCTGTCATTTTAAAAAGCGAGAAGAGGTTGGTAAAATTATGTCAGGTATTTAGAATAACATAACATTTACATGTGTTCTTGCATTTATTTGAATTCAATTTGATATATCTGCAGGTCTTGGGACATTATAAACTACATGAGAAATTAAAGAAATGCATTGTTAATAAAGTAGCATAGACATTGTTAAGGTTGATAGTGTTGCCTGAATGTGACATATTAGCTCACTCAGGTTATCTGATATACAGCACCAAAAAAAACAAGTTGAAAGAAAATATCAGACAAAGGATTTGTATTAAATCGAAATGTGATAGTATTTGTTTTTTCAATTGTCAAATAGATTGTTTAGCTGTTGCACTTTCAAAATCTTTGATAGAATCGTACATAATATTTAGATTATAATATTATTAATATTTCCTTTCAGAGTGTGAAAACATTGAGTTTATCCAGACTGAGGCGGTGGAATGGTTTCATGGGCTGGTTCCCCAAAAAGTCGATGTGGAATTTGATAATACAAATGTAACTCTGTCCATGCACAGCCAGAAAAGGTGAGTAAACATTTTAACACCGACTGCATTTAGATATTGTTTTGCACAATTTGATTCCATATTGAATGACCTTCTGATTTGAACATCATACCTTGTTTTCTTGTCTGCACAGACACCTGAACTGGACTCTGAAGTCTCTAAAAGTCTGCTATGGACGTGACGATGAACAGCTTCATCTTAAAAGCTTCACTCCAGAGCTGAGCTTTCCTCAGAGCAGAATGGAGCTCGTTCTAGAGGGTGAGTGGATGGACGCAATGCAGAGAGACGTGACTGAATTAAAGAAAGCAATAATAACACATCCCCTTTTTTTAACTGGCAGATGGACTTCTCCTCTCACAAAGTAGGCAAAGAATCCTGTGTGTGAACACGCTGAAGACAGTCCTGCAGGTGAGGAAGATACTTGAAGTTCACAACACAAAGCTTCTGAAACCTATGACTCATATTTGACATTATTTTGACTGTCTCTTGTGTTTTCCTACATTTAGGTTACATCAGTGGACATCTCAGGGTCGTTCACTGTTAACACTTGCATCATCCACTACCGTCACCAGGAGTTCTCCCATTGGCTAAATCTATTTCCATGGGAACAGCTTATCCACAGGAAGGCAGCACATAGAAAAAGGCAAGTCTCAAAAGGAAAACAGAAGGATTAGATTGCTGAATGGCAATTAATATTCATGTTGGGGTTGAACTATGACGATATCTTTTCTGGAGTGATTGGATCTGTGTTCAAGGTCACCCACTGCAGTGACGATAACATACAATATAATCTAATACCCTTTTTACTGTCTTCTCTTCCCTATCCATGTGTGTTTGCGCTCATTCTGTATTGTTGTTCCATGACGTCGTTGTGTTGTGTAGTCCATTAGATTATTTGCCCACCCTCCTTTTCCTCAGGCGCCTCCCTCACTTAGATGCCCCTGTGATGATCACCTCCTCCGTATCCAACGTCAACGTGTCAGTTCAGCTGGGAGACACCACGCCTTTTGCTCTCGGATTTCTCTCTGTCAGTGCAGGTACTGTAGGTCTTTCACATGCTGCACATTCACACACAGGGAGGCAGGTGAACATCCTAAGATGTTATTGCTACAGAGCAGAATGAGGGTATGGTGCGTTGAAGTTTAACCCCAACTCTTTGTTGTAAGCAACAGCACTTAATGTTATGACTTTACATCATCATTCTTACCTCACATTTCTGTTCAATAAATCTTTCTGCTTTGTATTCTGCAGGAAACTTTTGTGTCAATCTCTGCTAAACTAGATTAGATAACATATTTGATTAAAGTGCCCTTTTAAACGTTACACATTAACTTGAGTTTTTTATAACCCAGTTGCATTTAGTTTTTGGAAAACAAATGAAATCTTTATACTGCAGCAACTTTAAATGTACTTTCTGAAAAAAAACATTTTTATGATGACTTGTGTGTCCTGTGTCCATAGAACTGCGGCATCTTCTTGACATTAAAGTTGACTCCGAGAGCACAGAATCCCAGAATGTGCACCGACGTGCCTCACTGTCCCTGGACAACTTCTGGTGGAGGGTGGGTCAGGGGTCTCATATCCAACAAGCGCCCCACCCTCCTGGGAAACATGTGTGGGGAGAAGCACTAATTCTAGACACACTTAGTCTTCAGGTAGGTACACACAAATATAAGAAATAGTATTCTCGGATATACAATGTTTTTTGTTCAGTAAGTGAGTTAACCAGAGGATGAATTGGCTTACTCAATTTCTAATGTTTGTTATGACCTCATCCCTTCAGGGGAGTTTAATTCGGCCCCACATGGAGTCGAGCAGCCAGTGTCCGAGTTTGAGCGTGGAGTCCAGCCTGAAGGGGCTTCAGGTGGAGCTCTCGGAGACCTGTGCTCTGTGTCTGTCTCGCCTGCTGTCCCTCATCTGTGTTCCTCGTGACGTGGTCTCTCCGCTGCCAGATGTGACCTCACCGCTGCCAGATGTGACCTCAGTTTCTCCCTCCAGTGGCCACACTGTCCAACCACATCTGCTCTTTAAACTCGACTATTGTCTGGAGGACGTTAATGTGTTCACACTATCCAATCTAGCAGGTATGTTATTTCAGATTATGTATGAATGTTGTAGGCTTTGTTTCATAATTCACTATATGTGACATATAGAGTTTAACCTTTAGCATATATTTAGGTGTGCCTCTTAGTTGTTTGACAGAAAAGACATGTCCTAATTCTGCTGTTTTCATTTACATTTTTCTCAAGTAAGCATTCCTGTTGTCTAAAGGGACTTAACGTCCCAAATAGATGTCATTTATGTGGAGCCAACACGATTATAAAAATATACATTTTAATCGGCAGCTGTTTTTTATAATTTTTTGTTCGTTTGACCAACAAATACATCTCTATGAAGACTTAACCTTGGGTTTAAAGGAATTTGTATTCTTACATTTTTACCATTTTATGGCAATAAATAGGTCAGGAAATATTTTTTGTGAAAATAATTGTCAGTTTCCAGTTGGCCAAAAGTATTGGAGCAATACACTTTAGGGCTAGAACAAAAGTAAGTTGCTATCTTCTTACAAATGCCCTTTGGCCTTAATTATGTTGAGTTAAAGACCACTGCTTATACAAAGTACTCTGCTCCTCAGTTGATCATCATGTTTGATTATCATTGTTTATTTCCTTGTGTTCTCTTCAGGAGCTGTGTCTCTGCGAATGGACACTGTCAGAGTGCAGAGCTCTGCAGACAGCTCCACGGTGTCTCTTCAGGGTGTTAGCCTGTCAGCGATCAAAGCACTCACAGAGAACATGGAGTCGTGTTGCCCCTCCTCCCAAACCCCCAGCCCTGTGCTAAAACTCACCAAGATAGCCTTTTCTTACTGCATCACCACCCACACCTTACAGGTAATCACATCTCCTTCAGTTGTATTTGTCTTGAATGATGGAATATCTGTGTCAATATTCATATTATATCTTAATCAGGTTCAATGTGAAGAGGAGCTCTCTGTGGAATGGACGCCACCTGACCACATGGTCTTATATCAGCACCTGAGTGAAGCTCAGGCTTGTTGGCTTATGCTTTGCGGAGAGAGAGGAGAGGACAGTCCAGTCGAAACCACAGAAAGTGAAATCCTGCCGGGTCAGAGCAGAGAGCTGTGTGTGCGCATTGCACTGGGCTGCACTCGATTGACAGCCCATGTTAGTGAACACAACTACATCCTCCTGCACACAGAAGCCCTCACAGTGTCCAAACACACGGGCTCCATGCACATACGCTCTCCGTCCGTCATCTTCAACTTCGATGGCCACAACATCGTCACCTTTAAGGGTCTGTCTGTGGACATACACTCGGAGCTTCCTGAGATGTGGCTGCACAGAGAAACCTTCCCCTTCCTCGAAACTCCTCACAACTGTGTCGGGGTCCTCACTTGCCCCTCTATGACTGTGGAGTTCCCTTATCAGTACGACTTCTCAAACACCTTTGACATGGCCATCAGCGTGCAGAAGTGGCTGAAGACCCTGCATCGCTCCGCAAGCCAAGCCCCCGCCTCCCCCCGCCTGCCTCCCGACCTCGTGTTCAAAATCAGCCAGTTCTCCTTCGTCTTCCTGGACGATATCTTTGAAATCAAGCTGCGAGACAACTACGAGCTGCTGAAGGATGAGAGTAAGGAAAGTGCCAAGCGTCTTCAGCTTCTGGATAAGAAGGTGGCAGATTTGCGCAAGCAGCATGGAGAGCTTCTCCCTGCCAGGAAGATCGAAGAGCTGTACAGCTCACTGGAGAAAAAGCACATTGAGATCTACATCCAGCGCTCACGCCGCCTCTACGCAAACACGCCCATGAGGAAGTCTCTACTGACCTGGACTGTGTCCGACCTGGAGTTGGTATTCCTGGCTGATCAGTCTCTGCACGGGCCGGAGAAGGTGAGAGAGCAGCTCAGGGATATCGACAAGATCAGCCCCTTCCCCAGAGACGGACTCCCTCTGGTGGTCCAGTGGTGCCGTGCTATCAAGTTCAAACTGGCTGCATTTTTGGGTAAGTTCATACAACATTGATTTGCAGATTAGAGATCGGATTTAGATGAGACTAAACTATTTACTTAATTTCTCTCTTTCTGCCGTGTCAGTGAGAATCCGGGATTACCCTCGCTACCTGTTTGAGATCCGGGACTGGGAGCTGTCGGGGCGTCTCATTGGGACGGAGCAGGATGGACAAACCAGGGCTCATCGCAAAGAGACCGTCCCACTCGGTTCGCCATGGGGAGACGTGACGGTCCACAGGAATATGCCACCACTGAAGTTCTACTATGATTTAAAATGTGAGTTACAGGAATGATGCTGTCAACGTGTTATTCTACCATCATTATCTTAAGTCTTTTTTTTCATGAGTTTCCATCAGGTATACCCATCTTGTAATTCTGCCTGCCCAGTCACAGCTTTTGTATACAGTAACTATTTAGGTGTCCAAACAGAAGTTAAAAGCAGAAGTAAGGGGGCAAAGGGCGAAAGAAACAATGCCTATAGTTAATGATAAATGTTGTCAAATTCCTTGGCACCATATTACAAAGGAAGGATAAAGTTTCCTTTAGAGGCATATATATCCATTTACATTACATTTTAGCTCCAGTTGTGCAGTCTTACTGTTGGCTAATGGGAAGAATACTCTTCAGACACTGTACATTAATTTCTCTTTCTGATAATCTTTTTCTTACAGCGAACATCTCTCTGTACACCATTGTGTGGGGGCCATGCTGGGACCCTGCCTGGACTCTGATTGGCCAGTCCGTCGACCTGCTGACCAAACCCACTGTGGATCCCTCACCTCCTGTGGCCTGGTGGGACAAAAGTCGCCTCCTTCTGCACGGGCGCTGGGTTATGGACATCGACCAGGCCAACCTTCATCAGCTGGCTACAGAGGTAAAACAGTTTACAGCTTACAAATTAAATTGTTTTGAATATCAAATCAATCACTTAAATTCATTTGGAATTTGTACACTCAGTGTGTCACAGTATGTTTCAGTTTGTTGGGTTAAGCAAGCCATGTTGTGGTAAATAATATGAATCACTTTATCTAATATAAAGATGAATCATGATTCTTACAGGACCCTTACAACACCACAGAAAACCTGCACTGGGAGTGGAATAAACTGAACTTTGACTGGAACCCTGGTCAGTTTGTCTATAAAGGAGATTTAGATGTTAATGTCAGAACAGCATCAAAGTAAGTAGAGGCATCAAGAAGAAAAATGTAATGCAACTTTAAGCTGTATTTGTCAATGATTGTTAAGTAATATAAATGCTGTTTTCTCCACACTAGGTATGATGATATCTGTTTTCTACACCTGCCCAACCTGTTTATGACCCTTGACCTCCAATGGCTTTGCCATGGCAACCCTCATGACCACCATGCTGTGATGCTCTGCTGTGCGGAGAACGTTGCAGACGTGACTTCAGGACAACCTCATGACTCCTACAGAGCCTTTCGCTCCGAGAACCTCAACTTCTCCATCACCATGGACCTGAACCAGCACTGTGGCACAGGTACCTGCAACTCTGATAGATATTCTATATACAAAAGCCCACTGTGCTGGAAAACTAGCATCATAGAAATGTATTTACCTAGATAACTATATTTACTTTCCTTTGTAGAACCCTCCCAGCCGAGAATGCTGTTGTACAGCAGCACTCTGCGCTGGATGCAGAACTTTTGGGCCACATGGACGGGTGTATCTCGACCAATCTGCAGAGGCAAGCTCTTCCACAGCCTGAGGCCTATCCGTAAGAAGCTGGGTCAGCACTACAAACAGATGTCCTACACAGCTGCCTTCCCACAACTACAAGTAAGGGTTTTTCTAGGCTGCTGTCCAGCAACAGTCCACTCGAGATCTGTTCTATGTGTTTACCATTTGTAGTCACACAGGACAGTAGTAACTTTGATTTTGTACACATTGTTGAATATATTTCTTTACACCTAATATCTTCCATGTGTGCACATTTCAACATGTTATCTGTCCTCCAGGTGCATTACTGGGCCTCCTTTGCCCAGCAGAGAGGAATCCAAGTGGAGTGCAACAAAGGACACGTCTTCACCCGAGGGGCACAGAGACTTATTCCACAGGGTACAGGCGTCTGCATGATACAGTTTAAAAAAAAACAACAATAATTCATACACACAGATTGGGGCTGTAACTGTTTGTGTATTTGTGCTGACTGTCATGGTAGAAGGGGTTACGGTCCAGTGCACACAGCCGTAGTGTTTGTCTTTAAGACTGTTCAGCTGTGTAGCCCAGTTTAAAACATTTGTTGTAAACATAATCAAAAAGTAATCAAATGTAGAAAATTACATTACTTTGATCAAGGAGTTAAAATATTTACATTACATTTTTAAATGTAAATTGTTATCTGAAACCTAGCTTTTTAACACTGCTAAGGCGCATTAAACAACATGACTTATTGTAAAACCTTTACGTTTATAGCCTCTTGTGAGTGTAATGCAGAAAACAAACAAATGTGAATGGGCTTGTTTTTTTAAGGGTTTTTTATTATGTGTTTTTATTTTCCTTCAGCTGGCACAGTGATGAGGAGGCTGATCTCGGAGTGGAATGTAACTCAGATGGTTAGTGAGCTGTCTCAGGTGACGGTTCACCTAATGGCCTCCACCTGGGACGAGACAGCGGACCACCAGATGAACGCTCAGGTGAAGAAGACCCACCTGGTCAGCCTGTCCTCCCTGAGCTACCAGAGACAGAGCAACCGCATGGAAGAGGTAAAAGCCCAACCAGAGCTGCAGTACCTGTCGTTCTTCACTGTCGACGAGTTCATAATCACACAATTTAAATATTTCTTACAGGAGGTGAACCAGAAGGATGAGACGAATGCCTCGTACACTCACAAACTGCGCCTGGTAGACCTGCGTGCGTCCTGGACCACCACGAACAGGAACATCGCCTTTGGGCTGTACGACGGTTATAAAAAGGCGTCTGTGTTGAAGAGAAACCTCTCCACTGAAGCTTTGACGGGTCTGAGGATCGACACTCAGCTGCAGACCAAAAAGCTCAAACGCTCTCCTTCCAACTACTCTCCCACCACAGCCCCCACCACACCAGTGATGCCCACCGTCAGAGCAGAAAAAAGTCAAAATGAAGGTGAGGAAGTAGCTTCAATAAGAAAGACATCAGTCAAGTCTTTTTATAACCACTAAACTATTTGACTTTCCGCTTTTTGCAGGAACATCGATGCTCCAGAAACTAATCGAGGAAACGGACAAGTTTGTGGTGTTTTCAGAGGAGGATTCTGGTGTCAGCGACCAGCTGTGTGGCATTGCAGCCTGTCAGACCGACGATGTGTATAACCGCAACTGGTTTATCGAACTGGTTAACTGTCAGGTAAATGCCTTTATTTTTCTGCTGCAGGACCATTTCATCAGAATGCAAATCAGAAACGGGTTTATTGCCAGATACATTGACACATACAAGGAATTTGACTTGGTGTTGTGGTGCATACATACAAATGAAACCAAAATTAAAAACACAGATGGAGAACTATTTTAAGAAAACTATAATAACATTAAAAATATTAAGAAATATAGCAGAATTTACATTGGTTGAAATCGTAGAAATAGAATTGGAATAAAATATGTGCAGTAATGAAAAAGAAGATATTGTATACATTGTGTGCATTAATGTAATGCATAGAGTCTAGGATGTGGCTGAGGTACAGTGTCAGTCAGTTCCTACCTAATGTCATCATAGCAGGGTTGTATGTCCAAATTCACAAATAGTGGCTGTTAAATTCTACACCAAGAGCTGATAAAGCCCTATCAAAACAAAAATATATTGTGTTCTCTCTTTCTTGAAAGTTTTCTATTTGTTGTTTATTGAAATGCTGGACGATTTGCCCCAATGTTTCATTCTCCTCTGCTCTCCTCAGATGATGCTGCGGGGCACAGAGACGGCAGGCTGCGTGTTGGTGTCAGCAGCGAAGGCTCAGCTGCTTCAGTGTGAGCACGACCCATCCTGGTACAACGACACCCTGAAGCAGAAAACCACCTGGACCTGTCTGCTGGATGGCATGCAGTACTTTGCCACCATGGAGCCCAACCCATCTGAGCAAGAGGACAGACAGCTGTGGCTGGAGGTAAGCAACATTCATAATCCTTTTGATGTGACATATTCGCTTGGCCTACTCATATAGAACTACACTTTTTTTCCTTTATCTACTTCTGTTTCGGCGGAACACTTAATGAGGTTACATTGCCTTTTAACTGATTATTAACCATTGATAAAAAAGTTTTCAATTAGTTAGTATGGCAAGTTTCTGTGTTATGCCATGATGACATGAATAGCATGTTAAGTTAGTTTGAATACCAACTAATCAACTTCAACATCACAACCAAAGCTATATAGTAACTTATTCGCGTGGAGTGTTGTTCTGCTCTGATTTGCTTTGTCTGTGTTGTGTTTAGGTGAAAAACATAGAAGAGCACCGGCAGCGTAACCTGGACTCGGTGCTGGAGCTGATGGAGAGTGGCCAGGCTGTGGGAGGAATGGTTAGCACCATTACAGCAGGTAAATGAAATATCAAATGCAGGATCGTCCTTCCTCACCACATGGAATAAATAGGCATCTTCGGACTAAGAGAATCCGAAATCCTCTATTAGTCCCACAGCGGGGACATTTAAAGTGTTATGGCAAAAAGTGGCATAGCAGGTAAAGAAAAAGGCATAATCAAGGAAATATTCAAAACAATTATGAATAAGCTAACTTATTAAGTATAGAGGAGAAAAGCAAACGTTAGTTGTACTAGAATAAAAATAAAGGCAAATGGTGATTCATGGTCATTTTTCTGTCTGCAGACTGGAACCAGCCGGCCCAGGTGAACGAGGCTCAGCAGGTCCAGCGGATCATCTCGCGCTGTAGCTGCAGGATGCACTACATCAGCTACAGTCACGACATCAACCCTGAGGTGGCCACACAGATCAAACCCCCAGAGCTGAGGAATAACCACGAGAAGGAGGACCTGCTGAAGAAACAGGCCGGTATGTCTGGCCACCTGTTTACTGTACATCCAACACCTGCAAGGAATAATGCATTAGAGTTCTTCATTCAAGGCTTTATTGTCATGTGCACATTAGCTACAGTGTAGATATGGCAATGAAAAACTTAGATCACAGGCTCCTCCAACAGTGCAACATGAATATATATATAGGACATAGAACAAATAAAACAGATAAAATAGTGCAAGAGAATGTTTTGAAATGTGCAAGTAAATACAAATAAAATAGAAACAGTGCAAGAAGAGTCCATATACAAGTATATGGAATACGATATATTAGATAAATCATTTGCAAGATGAAAACAGATGAATGTTTATGGATGTTCTTTAAAAAAGGGACATTTTACTGCTTTTATACTTATTACAATAAAGAAGGTTTTTACTCAGTCACCAAATATGACATTTGTGCTTTATTATGTGGATTTAACAGGAGCTGTGGACACCTTCACGCTCATTCACCACGATCTAGAGATATCCACTAACCCTGTTCAGTACGCTATGATCCTGGACATCGTCAACAACCTGCTGCTGCACGTGGAGCCCAGGCGCAAGGTAGGCCGGAGCATCAGATGGCCATGAATCGTAAGTACGTTTCCTTGTGCTTAGCGATGCTTATTCTTTATTTTTCACCTCCAGGAACACAGTGAGAAGAAGCAGCGTGTGCGCTTTCAGCTGGAGATCTCCAGTAACCCTGAGGAGCAGCGCAGCAGCATCCTGCACCTCCAGGAGGCCGTCAGGCAACACCTCGCTCTGATCAGACGCCTGGAGAAACAGATCTACTCCAACATCAGGGTGAGGCATCAGGCTTGTGGGTGCTCAACTGTTATATAAAAGTATTTAGTTTACATTTAAAGAAACTGATTATGTTGTATTGCAGGCACAAACTGAGGAACTGAGCGGCGACGAGCTGATGGAGATCAACACGAGACTGCAGAACCAGCTGAACCAGGAGAAGAACGACATGCAGATGAAGAGTGAAGAGCTCAACATTCTCATCAGGTCTCACATCAGCACTCATTCACATCGAGAAAATATTGCACAAATGACTAAATTAATATATTTCTCTTTTATTTCAGGTGTTTTAAGGACTTCCAGCTGCAGAGGGCAAACAAGCTGGAGCTGCGTAAGCCCCCGGAGGATGTGAGCGTGGTCAGGAGGACAGAGATCTGCTTTGCCCAGGCCCGCTGGTGTCTGACCGAAGAGGACGGCCAGCTTGGCATCGCTGAGTTAGAGCTGCAGAGATTTATGTACAGTAAGGTGAGCGGTGATTATTATATAGGAACACTTCTTATCTTCCACAGTGCTGACAACTTTCCTGACATCTTACTACATTATCTGTCCTCTCCAGAGTTCCCACAGCAGATCTATTTCCAACTACTTTGATAACAAAGGTTTTCATGCAAAAGTTCTGTGTTCCACCACTCATACATGTAGATGTCCTGCTTTTCTCTGTTTAATATCATATTAAACTGTATGTCTTGGGTTTTGAACTAACAAACAGTGGAAGACTTTGTGAAACTGGGTTGGACATTTTTCCGTACTTTTTTTTAAAAACGTTTTATAGACCAAAACATGAATTTAATAATCTAACAAAAAATCTCCATATTAATCAATAATGGAAAAATGTGTGAGTTGCAACCCTAGTCTCTCAAATCTTCATTACATGTATTTGCACTTCATAACACGTGAGCGACTGTAACCCTTATTTACACTTTATTCAACATTCTGTATTCCCCGAAACATACTAGGATAATAGGAATATATAACATATCTCATTCAACCAGTGTATCACATTATATCTTACTGCTGACATTACATATTTCACTTATCACTGCTGGATGGTAGTCGTTGATAACTGTGAATACTTTGTTCCCACAGCTGAACAAGTCTGACGACACAGCAGAGCATCTCTTGGAGTTAGGCTGGTTCACAATGAACAACCTGCTGCCCAATGCATCTTACAAGGTACGTTTCACTCATTATTCAGACATTATTTCAACCTAAATTGTACAACAAAATGTAATCAAATCCATGACAAACATCCTTTTTAAGCTGACTATTCTCGAGAGACGTTTTCAACATGTATTTCCCAAAGATCTGTGATATTTATTGACTCTGCCTGGTTTCCTCTGTGCAGCGTGTGAGGGTATGTACAGCTCGAACTGTGACTCAACGTCTGTGTAAATCCATCCTGTTTGTCCAGTTGGGATCACTCAGTGACTCTTCAGAATGTCATACTCATCGTTGCATGTGCACTCAATAGTTCATTGATGCATGTGAGGCGAGGTCTCATGCAGTTTCACTTGACCTGGTGCTGTCGCCCATTCTGTGTTCATATCATTAATAATATGTGCTCTCATTTAGAGTTGGATTTTCTCCTTGCACCAGAGCTTGATTTTGTGCGATCGCCAAGGATGAATTTAACTCCTTGTTCTTTTTTTTAGGTTGTAATCCGTCCGCAGAGTACATGCCAGTCAGCACGGCAGTTTGCTTTGCGTATCTTCAGTAAAGTGCGCCCCCCTGTGGGAGGAATCTCTGTTAAGGAGCACTTTGAGGTGACGGACATCACATCTACAAGCAACCACATTCACTAAAAATGTTTGGATTGTGATTAATGGAAGTGTTTCTATCATCAGGTGAACGTGGTGCCTCTCACCATCCAGCTGATGTACCAATTCTTCAAAAGGATGATGGGCTTCTTCTTCCCAGGACGAAATGTTGAGGAGGAGGAGGTCACTGATGAGGAAGACAAGTTCAGATTGGTCACTACAGGTGAGGTGTTATCGCTCAGTACGCTGAGTAACTCCGTCTACTCTCTGTGGGATCACCAGGCGGAAATCTATACCAACAAACGGATCAATAATAGTTTCCATTTTCTCCGTCAGATGTGTGCTTGGTATCAAATAGCTCATTACTGTGTTATATCATCGCTCTGAGCTATTAAAAGGCTCTGTCACGACGGATATGACCTGGAGGTGTGTGTGAGAGACTTGCTGGGAGTATAAGGTGTAGGGTGCAGAGTCCCCCAGGGGCCACAGTGCTGACGCCCTCTCTGTGTCACAGGTATCGCTGTCAAGTCCCGGCAGTCATCAGAGGACACCATGGGTGCTATGGGCCCCAGCAAAGGTGTCACCCAGGGGCTGAACCGCACCGCGGGGGTCCGGCGGTCCTTCAGGAAACCTCCAGAGGTAAACTGTGTTCTGATTGTCTGTGCCTGTATGTCACTCGTAAGACAATAAGGACATGTGATTTAAGTCTTTGTTTCCTCCCACCAGCATCCTGTTGATGACATTGATAAGATGAAGGAGCGAGCGGCTATGAACAACTCCTTCATCTACATCAAGATTCCACAAGTGCCCCTCTGTGTCAGCTATAAGGTGGGATTTCTGTGCATTGACTGATATGTTTTATTAAATTCCTTTTTAGATAAAGAACTTGTAGAGGAGTATAACTGAAGAGGATTTGTCTGTTATATTCTATCTTATTGTCTTGACCTTAAAACACCTCAGGTCTTTCATAAAAGATCTCTAATTGTGAAAAATTATCATTACTTTAACTTTGATATTTTGGATTATGCCCTGTTGAAATTGCATGAGAACTACAGGCATTAGATTAGATTACATGTTTTATTAATCACCTCCTTTACAAATATTGAAGTGATGTAAAGAAATTAGGTGGAGACAGAAACATGACCCAAATAAATACAAATGTCGCTCTGGCTGGATATATAAGTATGCAAAAAGGTTTGTCATATCATCGTCATGTTTTTCAGATATTGAACTAATGTTACATATATAAACATCCCCATTCTTTAGGGAGAGAAGAGCAGTGTGGACTGGAAGGACCTGAACCTGGTTCTGCCCTGTTTGGAGTACCATAACAACACCTGGACCTGGCTCGACTTTGCCATGGCTGTGAAGAGGGACAGCCGGAAAGCTCTTGTAGCACAGGTACAGAAGAACATTTATGATTTTGACTCCTTATCATATGCTCACAACTTGAAACCTTCAACTTAAAATAGTGTGTTAATTAGGATAATACCACCAAAATGTTCCCTTTTAAACCTTTAAAAAATAATATTTTGTTAGATTTCTCTCTGCTATTTAAATGCTTAAATCCTTTTCTGCGGACAGTGCGATATGAACTATTTAAATGTATTTGCCATTACTAAGATTGACTAGGGTCAGAAGTAACCTTCATTTGCCGTGCCATTGATAAGTTCTGTGTTTATAAACTGTTATTTGTCCTCCGCTCTGCTCAGATGATAAAGGAGAAGCTGCGTCTGAAGCCGGCCTCAGGCTCAGACCAGCGGGGGAAGGCGTCTGAAGGGAAGTCGGACAACAGCATGCAGCAGCAGGAGGAAGACGATAAGGCTCGGCTCCTCATCGGCCTCAGCTCCGCAGACAAGAGCTCCGGCAAAAAGAGCATCTTCAGTCGGCGTAAGTGACACGACAAACATCGTGCAGCTCGACTGGAACGTCCACGCAGCAGCTTCCACACTCCCTCGGTAAGAGGATCAGGGACAAACTGAATATCAGTCTGGCTTTGTGTATCACAATGAAAAAGGGAGATGGTCGAGCATTTCGTTTATGGGGATAACTTACTGTATCACGAGCCTGCTGAACATTAATTTTATTTGAAAAAAATACTCCAGATGTGTCTCAGATCTGAATTTGTGGCAAACACCCCTACAGGGAACTCAAAACAGCTCCAGTATTAACCAGGGTGCCATTTTGACCAAATATATATTATTTTCTTGTTTATTTACGTGCCATTAAAAATTCTTTCTGCATTTCATACACACAATGATGACCACTTGCATTGAATGTAGCGGGGATATTTTCAGTGTGTAGCGAGCACTTCACTGTCTCCTCTGCTTCTATAAATGTTAGACTGAGAGCACCTTTTCCTGCTGGCTCAGGAACACTGTACGTCTGCTCCAATAACTCACCCAACTGAAAGCACCTTCATCGCTGTCTGCTGTAAGAAAATATATTTGATTTTGAAATTCCATAAATGAATATATTATATCCCTATATGTTTTATCGATTACATATATTGTAAAAGGCTGTATGAGTGTCTCTGACAGGAAGGCCTTTTACCCACAAATGACCACAAAAGATTTTATATTTTACCTTAAATGACTGTGTGCATCCTCAGCTAGCTGTTTTACTGTACCTCACCCCTGTGCAATATATCAAGAACAGAGCAGCAAAAACATGTTTGTGTTGTATAATGTCGCACTTGGTTTGATGGTATTGTGGAAAATATATATATTATGTTGCAGCTAATGCAGAGTGTATGTTTTGTAATTTTATTACTAAAGCACCTTTCTATGCAAAGTATTTTGATATTTTTGTAACCACGGTTGTCTTCTGTTGAATTACTTGTATAACTGTTCTGCTAAGCCTGTCACATTTCTATTAAACATAATTACAAACGCATCATATCACAAAAGCAGATGTATTCACATTTCTATCAGCTCTGTGGCTTTTTGTTTATCTGTCAATAAAAAGTGTTACAGTCTCTCAGTTGTGTTTGGGTTTTTGTGCAGTATAGAGAAACTAAAGGGGGGGGGGGGCAGGGCTGTGCGTCGCAGGATATTTGGGAGCAGAGGGCTGAGCGATGATCGAGCTGGCAGCTTCGACTGGAGCGGAATCCAGACCCGCCGCAAACACAACACAACAACACGTGGATCAGAAAAGGATGCCAAATAAAGGACTGAACGAGTTGAGTTTTTACAGATTTTTGCGTGAGATACAGATCACTTTATGGGCAACGACATCAGTAAGGTAGGTTCAGTGTCATCTGTCCGATACATGTGAATCATGGAAGTGGTTGTTGAGCTGTCGCTAATAATAAGTAGCCTATTATAACAACAACAAATGAGATATACAGCGATCGCATGTGTGGATTACTGTTGATTTAATGTGCAACTACTGGTGGATCATATATACAGCATGTCTAGGCTGAAGAGTCAGAAATAGAGCTGTTATCAGTAAGTGATAACCCGAGGGGCAACACGTCTCCGATTCTCTGCAGCCCTGAATGAATAGCTTCATGTGTCATTGCTGGAAACTGTAGCTGTCTAAAGCTCTGTCTTTCACTGTGTTAAAAACACATTAAACATATAAAGCTTCTCCAGATTTGTTTTTATTTCATATTCATATTTTTATAAAAAGATGCAGTATAGTATACAGACAGAAGGCAACTTGTTAAGTCTTAGTTTTGTTATTAGATCTTTGAAAAAAAAGTGTATGAATATATAGTGAAATCATAACTATTCTACCATATATTCACCAAGAAACAGTTGTGTTAATATAAAGAATATTCAGTCACAAACACAGTTCTGCATTGAAATCAGCTAAATGTATACTCTAATACAAATTATGCAGATGCTTTCAGCTATGTTATTATATTTTAAATGAAATGGATATTATAACTACATAAACAAAGTGTGTATCTTCATGTAGAACAAGTCAGTGCTGGTTTTTTAAACAACAAAAATATAAAAAGTGTACTTTTACTCCTTGCTCATGTCCTTGAAAAGAGATGTTATTAAAACATATTTAGTAACCCATAATTTGGGGTCTAACTTAGAAATGCAAATGAAATACATATATATACATTGTATGTTTCATAGTGCCTTGCATTTCATTATCCAGACAAAGGGACCGCCTGCTCAGCGTCGCCTCAGTCTGGGGTTCTTCTCGAACAGGAGGGTCTCCATCACCCAAAGACTCGGACACTCGGCTGTGTTTTCCCGGCCTGTTGGTCCTGATGGCAGACCCCCTGACCCCAACCCTCTGCAGCCTCCAGACCGCACAGACACTCCTCCAGCTCTCATCTCCATCTTCCTACCTGAGTTCCCACAGCGAACACTTCCTGGACCAGAGCATTTCAAGGTATCACAACAAGGATGCTCAACAGAATTGACAAAGCAAAGAATGGGAAACATTGAGATAAATGTGATGTATGTCTTTTTCACAGATCCTGGGATTCATAGCCAAAGGCTCATATGGACCCATCCTGAAAGTAAAGGACTTTTTTAAAGAGAAGACCTACGCTGTTAAGGTTAGCCATAATAATCAGTACTATAAACAAACAGCATTAGGAGCATGAAATAGTTTTTGTGTAATCCTTTCTATATTGTTGCATAGGTTCTACCAAAGTCAGACATCTTGAAGCATGGAGTGCTTGAGCAGTCAAAAGAAGAAGTCATCATTCAGGTATCACAGTGTACACTCTCAGCTGTGGACAGCGTGTACTGTGACTTTACTGTTCTTATTCTGCTGCAACAATTAGTCCATTCATGGAAATAAATGATTTAGAAATCCATTTATAATTTTTCAAGCCAAATATTTGCTGGTTTCAGCTTATCAGATATTATGATTCATTACCTGTTTTTATCTTAGATCAATTCAACAATAATTTATGTTTTTGTGTTTGTTTTAGGATTGTTGGTCGAATAGTTCAAACAATCTAGGGAAATGACTTTGGACACTGAGAAGTCCTGATGGCTGTTTTTTTCCAAACTTTTTCAAACTTCACAGACTAAGAAATAATCATGAAACAAGAAAGTATGATGAAAATAATTGCTGGTTTTGGTCCTACTTACGAACTATTGAAAAATGTAATGAGGTTACTCAAAGTACAACTTTTGCTAAAGGCAATGCTTTACTTTTTAATAACCAACAAAGAATAACATGTTTAAATGATCTCTGAATTATTCTGTTTTGGTTTGTCATCACTCTCTTATACAGTTTATCATATTGAACAATAAGAAGTTCCCTTTCCATCTCACTGTTATATTCACTTTCACTCTGTGTGTGTGTCGACTGTTGAATTGCAGCGGCAGCTAAAACACCCATTCATCCACAATCTGCAGGACTGCTGGCAGACACAGCGCCATCTCTTCCTTAGTGAGTTATTAAGAATAAGCGATGGCACAGTTCAACCCCTCTTCCTTTTAACTATCCTACTATTTGTGTCCCCCTCCCCAATCCCCTCTTTGTCCCATAGTAAAATAAATCAGTACAAACCCCAGTGCTGGATATTGAAGAGGTGTACTGCCATCTAATGAGAAAGCTGGGTAAAGCTCAGATGCTGCATAGCCTGCATGACTTTCAAGTTTTTAGCCATGATCATATATGTGTACATCCAAAGAGGTATTCAAAGATGTGACCCAACCATCAGGAGACTAACAAGTCAGAGGCATGTGTGTTTCTGTCTTCATCTTCTTCCTTTTCCCCCCAGAAAGAATGTGCGATGAGCAAGGCTTTTTATTTTTCTTCTTTTTGGGTTATAAGGATGCTGGCCGCTGCTTTCAAAGACATAAGTGTGTGTGTGTGTGTGTGTGTGTGTGTGTGTGTGTGTGTGTGTGTGTGTGTGTGTGTGTGTGTGTGTGTGTGTGTGTGTGTGTGTGTGTGTGTGTGTGTGTGTGTGTGTGTGTGTGTGTGTGTGTGTGTGTGTGTGTGTGTGTGTGTGTGTGTGTGTGTGTGTGTGTGTGTGTGTGTGTGTGTGTGTGTGTGTGTGTGTGTGTGTGTGTGTGTGTGTGTGTGTGTGTGTGTGTGTGTGTGTGTGTGTGTGTGTGTGTTTTATCCTCTGCAGTGTGCGATTACTGCAGCACTGGAGACTTATACACTTGCTGGTTACTGAAGGGCCAGTTTAGGGAGGATGAGGTCCGGCTGTTTGCTGCAGAGCTGGGCAGTGCGCTGGGTTAGTAATCATCAGACTTTTATCATTAAGATGTTATCATGTTGACCTTTGACATTGACACAGACATCGTAAAAATGTATATTTTAAACTATTTTCACTTCCTTGTTATCTTGTTTTTATGTCAAGTATCTCACCCTCTGTTATTTCTAGGATTTCTGCATGACTTAGGGATCATACATAGAGACGTAAAGGTATGATGTTTTACTGTATATGTAAGGTTATTTTTCCATTTATAATGCGTAATCATTACTTTTTATAATATTAATTCTTTACTGTTTTTGACTCAGATGGAGAACATTCTTTTAAGTGATCAAGGTAATGCACGTCGTCTACATTTTTGACCTACGACGTGTAAAGACATTTAGTGTGGTCATTCATTTAGAATACATGTTGTCACTGTCACAGCAAAAAGTAAGACTAACACGTGCCACTAAACAAAAAAACAATGTCATTAGTCACTAGTAACAAAAATACTCATCATAAGCTTGCCAATAAAATACACATACAATTCAAGACTCTTCTTTCTAAATCATGATCTATAAATACCAGTGTATTTGTATTTCAGTGTGTTTTCAATGACCCAGGTCACCTGCGTCTGTCTGATTTTGGACTTGCACAGCGGCTAAAAAGAGGAGGAAGAGCATTCACGATATGTGGGACGATCCAATACATGGGTGAGATTTTAATGTCCTTTTCTCACCTAGAGGTAAATGTCATATTTCAAAGCTACAGTATGTAGTATCAGCATTAGAGTAACATTGTAGCAGCATCTACTCCCTTTGGATTCAGTTGACCCAGTTATGAATGTGATGCACCTGCGCTTCAGTTCATATTGCACATCTTTGTAATATTCCCATTTATTGACTAAGTGATGCTCATTTGTCATTGTAAGGTTTGTTTCCATGATTGTTTTCCTTTGTTGTCTGAACAGCTCCTGAAGTATTAAGTGGAGGTCCGTACAATCACGCTGCTGACTGGTGGTCTTTTGGGGTTATGCTGTTCTCACTGGTGACAGGCAAGGTGAGGGCACAACAACTCAATGTTTATTAGTTTGTGATTTTGTGTCAATTGTCTGAGACTTTTTTTTTCTTTTGCAGTTTCCAGTACCTGCAGAGCCGGACCACATCAGCATGTTCAAAAAGGTCAAGGATTTTCCTTACATCCTACCTGAGACCTTCAGCTCTGCTCTGATCTCCCTGCTCACTGAGGTTTGTAAATGTGACTTCCATTTCTTTAATGTGGAAGAAATAATAATAATAATAATAATAATAATAATAATAATAATAATAATAATAACCATATGTCTCAGTTAATATTCTTATTTATTTTTTGCAGCTTTTGTGCAAGACTCCAGTGAACCGGCTTCGTAACCTGGAGTGTTTAAAAATGCAGGCTTTCTTTCGTGGCACTTCATTTGACTCACTCATCCTTCAGAAGACGCCTGTTAAAGTCATCCTGGAGCTGAGGACTCATCCTGATTGGCCAGCTAAAGCCTTGAGAGGCCTTTCATTCGACATATTTGATGACTTTGACTGCGATAAAATCCTTCATTCTCCTTCAACTCCCACTGAACTGTCTCCTACGTTGGCAACCATGGACCTGGCTACAGAGCAGACGACTGGACAATGTTAGTGAAGAAGTGAACTGGAAATAAACTATATTTTACTGTCACATTTGTATTGCTGCGAGTATATAATGAAGCTGTTTGAAAGCTAAGTTATCTACATTATTTAAGATGTATCCTAACCTTTTGAAATGAATGTTTTGTAAGCAAACATGTTGTGCTCCTTGGTACAGCAAATGTCTTAGTGCATTATTGATTTCTATGCATCACATTACCTTTATTATTTATTTGAATACTTACACAGGAAATATTGGTGAGTATTTTTTCCAGAGTAATTACTATTTTGCTCTGAAATAGTGATATTTAATCATTTTGGAGTGTATTTATTACTCATAGCTTCTAGAGTGCGATCAAAAATGCAGAGTCAATTCTACTGGAGTTTAACCATGACCACGCTGTAACGGAGGTGATCTCTGGGGCCATAGATCTCGGTCTCCGTTACGGATTATATAGCTTCATTATTGGCGAAGTATATTCATTTGTTCCATGCTAAAACATTGCACAGGAAGCATGTGATTATATGTCATTTATGCATATATTTGTCACAATCTGTCTATGTTTTAGTTTGTCTGTCTCTGTTTCCTGTTTTAGTTTGAAAAGTGTTCCCCCTCCCGTCTTGTCTGTTGCTGGTGATTGTGTTCACCTGGTGCCCTGTGTTTCTCCTCCCTCCTCACCTGTGTCTTGTTGGTTTGATTAGTCCTGTGTGTATTTAGGTTCTGTTTTCCTGTTAGTGTGTGAGGTCCTGGTGGCTGGTGACTGTGTTCACGTGAGACAGTCATATTGAGGCTGTGTATCCTGTACCACAAAGAGGAATAAATGCCCACACCGGGTTGTATTTGAACTCTCTGCCTCTGCCTCCTTGCCTGGTCGGGCCGCTCAATGGTCAGCTTCACACACGCCCACTCATGTTCCTTAAGCACTTTGGTTTATTGACCTTTTTTATTGTAAAGATCATTATGGTTCATTTATTCTATTCTGAGTAAAATTACCTTCTAGTTGGAGTGAAATTACGTTCGATTGGGAGTAAAATTACCTCCTATTATGAGTAAAATGGCAGTAGAGTTGTTTTTAATATACACTACATAGAGTAAATAACCATTAAGCAGAGTCAAATCTAAGCACATAATAGAGTAAAATGAACTCTAAAAATACAACTCTGAACAAAGAGTACATTTTATTCTATATAGGTTGGGACCAAATGTTATATTTTTAGAGTAAAATTCTCTTCAATTTGAGTCAATGTTACTCAGAGAAATTTACTGTGTACGTATCACTAAAAGTAGTCTGGGTATATGTGTTTCATTTTACAATCAAGTAATAATGGGATGTGTCTGTGCACATTCAGTAAATTCTAGTCTGAATGTGAATTGTGTTGGCAACTGAGCTCCAAAAAAAGATGTAAAATAGTGTTTTAATAAAACAATGTACTGCAAATGTAGCCTTTATCTCCAGCAATAAAAATAATCTCAATCAAGGCTCTATTGAAATGTGTCTGCAGGATCGGTGACACCTTGGGTCGACCTATTTAAAGGAGTGCTGAAAAACCCATCGAGGACAAACTTAATAGGACAGAAAATGAAGGACCAGATAAAGTATCATCATTAAATATTTTTAATTAGGTAACAGAGGGAAAAAAACGAGGGCCCGGCGGAGGAAGTCACGTATAATTGCTGTTCTTATTGAAGTCATCTATCTATTTTAAACTTTTTAAACTGTATCTCCCTGAAAGGGGGGCTCTGGGTTCTCCTTTCGCTGCCTCCTGACACTGAATACCTCTCAGGCCCTTGTCTTAGACAGGTCCCTGTGTTGCTGCAGTCCAGTGACCCATATCTAGCTTCAGAGGCACAGTGACCCACAGTAGTGAAGGGAGGAGTCCCTTGAAATACTGCTGACTATCCCACTGAATATAACCTAATAGTAACATCATATACCAGCAACACACAACAAAAAACATGCTGTTTCCTGAACATATAGCTCATACCTCAATGTTGCAGATATTTCATCAACAAATTCAAATTAGTAACATAGTGATGATACTGTTAAGCTCACAGAAATGTAGTCACATTGTTGTATTTAACATTATAAGTATTATATGTTGTAGTATGTATCTATTTTTGAGAAGAAAACATACAAAAATTCCACCTTCAAAAATGAAATGATTTAGCTGACCTATTTCTGTCTAATTTAGGACATTTCACCACGTTCATTTACATTGAATGTAACCTGGAAATGTACTTATTTAACAACAAAGACAGCCGAGTGCCTGAATTGTTCTGAGACTGAAACCCCCCGTGAATTCAGGGATGAAGACCAAATTATCTTGAGACTTCAAATATTCCTCTGGGCACGATTTGACTAATTAAAATAAAAATAGCACACCATGGGGTATGGTTAAATGCCTTAAATTAGGTTGCTTTAGGGGTAGAGGATGTTGCTGATAGAATCAATTATTTCCTAATACGACATATACGTAGTTGAGACACATCAGCATGTATGCAAAACTTAAATATAAAAACATAATTGTTGATATATACATCCAATTTACGCCAGCACTGCAAGTTGGAAGCACAAGAGTGACATCAGCATAAAACCAGCATAATGTCTTTATTCAAATGGAATGATTAATCACAAATCTGCTAATTTATATAGGGCAGAGATGGGTGTACAAGCGCCGCCCAGGGGTGTGGGCTTATGAGGTTTGACATACTTGAGCTGGATACAAAATTAAGCTGACTGAGAGTCTCCGATCAATGTTCATCACACCAGAGGAAAGGACGTATTTGATTTCTGTCAGGTATGAACAGCTCATCTCTTATTTAAATGTCGGGTTATATCACTGACTTCAATGGGTACATCTGAATGTACCTGCATCAAGTATGATCTGTTAACTTGCAGCTTTAAGAGTGTTGGTGTAAACCAAAATGTAATTTGTACTTGAGAGAGAATTTAAAGCCGGTTTTATATTTTATCAACAGTGCTATCAACGTGGTTAGTAAGTTTGACGATGATGCACCAGTTTCCACTTCTTTAGCCTGTATGCTACAACAACACAGGAATGTAACACTGTAGGGATCAATTAATACTTTTTGTGGTTTTTAGTGAATGATGAGGTTTCATTTGTATGTTGGACAACTATAGGTTAAAGTTATCACTCAATTATGTATGTTATCAATCAATGATGCACTAGTTAACCCAGACAATGTTTTCTTTACCTTTTGTGAACAGCATCTATAGAAGCTGATTCTTCAGTAGGTTGTTCAGCGCTCATTGGAACCAACATGAGAAAATACCAATAGGGGCCAATATGTTGAGGGAGACAGAAGAATAGGGGCAACTAAAGGCATTTAACAAACAGCAATGGTGGGCTATATCTGTCTAATTTTGGTTGTGAATGTCTGATAAAAACAATCTTAAGGCGACTCCTACCAAAGGCTGCAGGACAATCAGTCAGGATGACACATCAGTCCCCAACGCTCTCCGAGGCGCAGAAGAGGGAGCTACATGAGACCGCTCTACGCATAGTTTCTCCAGGGAAGGGAATTCTGGCTGCAGATGAGTCCGTAGGTCTGTAGCACTTTTACTTTTTCCTAAAACGTAATTAAACATGTGTGCCATTAATGTATAAAAACAGTTATGTCACAAATAAAGGCCACCAAGTACCAAGAGTTCACAGTATGGATACTAACATCCCATGTGCACATCATGTTGGTTTCAGGCAGCATGGCTAAGCGGCTGGCTCAGGTGGGAGTGGAGAACACGGAGGAGAACCGCAGACAGTACCGGCAGATTCTCTTCAGCGCAGACGATCGAGTCAGCGGCTGCATTGGAGGAATCATCTTCTTCCATGAGACCCTGTACCAGAACTCTGATATAGGCATACCCTTCGTGAAGATGATCAGGGACAGGGGCATCCTGGTTGGCATCAAGGTGTGGCAGTTTACTATCAAATATTGAATAATCCTACCCTCCCTTGTGGTATCAAGATTGCATCTGTAATAAATATGTAAGTTTGTGGCAATTCATTCTGTACGCTGAGTAAGGGTTGTGTCTAAAACAGTAAACTTTTGCAAAACTCTTGCAAAATGTTTCGAGTTAGGCATTGACCTTCAATTGTTACGGTTATAATAGCTTGGCGGGGAGACTCATAAACGTTTTTGCCAAGTTTCGCAAGTCAATGTTTACCATCCACAAACAACCCTTATTTAGTTGTTTTTGTTTATGAGAATTTGACATCACTTCTCTAATTGTTATTCGCAGGTAGACAAGGGTGTCGTACCCCTGGCAGGAACCTTTGGAGAAACCACCACACAGGGTCAGACAAAAACTACTTTGTGCACTGCTTATTTCACTCACATCACCCGTATATTACAAAACAAACTATTAATATTTGCTACACCTCTGCCGCAGGTCTAGATGGATTGTCCGATCGCTGTGCACAATATAAAAAGGATGGAGCTGTCTTTGCAAAGTGGCGCTGTGTGCTTAAAGTCAGTGAAACTAATCCATCAACACTGGCTATCACAGAAAATGCAAATGTTCTTGCACGCTACTCCAGTATCTGCCAGCAGGTAAGTACCCAATATGATAAATAATCTCTCTATGAGATGCAACTGTATTGTTTTAACAAGATGTCAATTTTCGAGCAGCATGGCATTGTGCCCATCATTGAGCCGGAGATTTTGCCTGATGGAGATCATGACCTAAAACGCAGCCAGTACATCACTGAGAAGGTGCGTGCCTCTTTCCGTACATACTGCATGTGCATGGGTGATGTTGTTATTACTGGAGAAAGAAGTGACACAGTGAGGAGGGGGAGTACCTGTGTGTTATCTCTTTGGGAAACAATGTGTGTATTGTAGGTCCTGACTGCAGTGTACAAGGCTATGTCGGACCACCATGTGTACCTGGAAGGCACCCTCCTAAAACCCAACATGGTCACCTCTGGACACAGCTGCTCCACCAAGTACGGCCCAGAGGAGGTTGCAATGGCGACTGTCACCGCCCTGCGTCGCACTGTCCCCCCAGCAGTGACAGGTGAGCCAGAGAGAGGGCTTTACACCTATATGTTTGAGGTTTGCAAAAACCAAATGAGAGTAACATGATGTTCCTTTGTTCCCCGTAGGTGTGGCTTTTCTTTCCGGTGGTCAGAGTGAAGAAGAGGCTACTGTCCATCTCAATGCCATTAACAACTGCCCTCTGGCCAAACCCTGGATCCTATCGTTCTCTTTCGGCCGAGCACTGCAGGCGTCTGCACTGAGAGCCTGGAGGGGGCATAAAGAGAACGAGAAAGGAGCCACTGAGCAGTTCATCAAGAAAGCCGAGGTAAGTCCAGCTTATTTGCTGCAGATAAAACACATTATCTTATACGTTACACATAATTATTATTATTTTTTATTTTTTTATTTTTTTATTTGAAGAGGGAAAGTGCACATTGATGAAAACAAATAATGCTTTAAAAACGTAAACATGCCGGATTTTAGCTTTGAGCTAGTTTCCATCCGTAGTCCCTCACATACAACATTTAAGAACATGACATTTATATACATAGCAAAATAAATACATGATATGCAGAAAAAGCATGAGCAGCATATAAACATTTACCACATGGCTGTAATTACTGAATGTTTGCTTTTTTATTGCTTATTTATTATTATGTATCTTCTCTGTCCACAGGCAAACAGTCTGGCCTGTCAGGGGAAGTACACTGGTGGTGATAATAACTACACTGATGCTGGCCAGCGCAGCTATGGTTCCTGTTATGCATACTGAGTAGCATGAGTAGCCATGTTATTATTAGCATTGTGTTTTCTTTCATTACCATAACAACTATTGTGAAGTAGATAAAAGGGTTGGTTAGAAAATGTGACACTCATGATGATGTTACATGTAAACAAGTGACAGTGTGTTTTTCTGCCTTGACAAATGATGACAAACAGAACGCAGCCTTGGGTTTCTAATGCATGTATTGAATGAAGAGTGCTAGCTTTATCACTTTACATTGTGCTCTTACTGCTTTACAAGATTACCAGTATAACAAATAATGACGAAAAACGTGGCATTGTGGCTGCAGAATAATTACTACATTTCTGACATACAATTTCCCTCCTGTTCGGGGAAGTATCTTTAAGTTGTGCAAAATGTCTTTGTGTATGAGTCTGTATACTTTAGTTTTGTTAGTGAACATCCTTACACATATAATATGCCTCCGCAGTCGATATGACATTCACAATCTTCACTTCATGGAACTCAAAATGTAATGTGATTGTGTGTGTAGTTATTCTGAATAGTTCTCTCTAATTGTATAGACATTAAAGCATTCAAACAATAAAACTGTTCAGGTTCCGTGTGGGGTCGACATCTTGTTTTATTATACCATCAGCCAAATCACATGTTTCCAGTACAAGAAACAAACTAGAGAAATTAGGTATTGTATTTACCATCGATAGTTAAACTTATTTTGTCATCTCCTTCAAAGATATAGGATGCAGTCAGCTGTAGATCATCAGAGTTGTAGATCAAGCCAAAAGCAATCCTAAAGTGTTGTAATAACATCCCCAACAAGGAAGTGAAATATATGTTTCATAAAAATCTGTTTCCAATCTGTAAGTAAATATCCTACTATCTGTATGTATACAGATTACATTATTATAGTCATTATATTATATTCCTTATAACGACAGCAACAGGTCTCTATATTAATGTTGCAATATCAAGTGCTTTCATTAGTTTTATTTCCATATTGTGTTATTGTTTATGTTAATGATGTTAATGAAGAGAGTGTGATGTACACAAAATCACTTGATACATTATTGGGCGTCTATTGATTGTTAAAGTGTACTTTGGCAAGAAGGCAAGAGGGCAAAAGATGGTTCAAGGACTTAAAAGACCAATAGAAGGCCCAAGGTGGAAATAGAGAGCATGACATGACTGCTTTATGTTGTGAAAAAAGTAGGTTGCAGACACCTGCAGCCTGAAGCTCCACCTACAGTCATCAAACTGAATCTGCACTTCCGTCTCCTGAAGATTATACCAGAAACCTTTCGATCCACTTGTTGTCTTTCCCAGCAACCTTCACCACCAGTTTCCATTTTACCGCTATGTTGAGACCAGAGATACACATGTAAATATAATATTTCAGTTAACGTGAATGAATGCCTGGCCAAGCAGTTTACTTCTTCTTATTATTCTAAGAGGTATTTCTTACGTTGTGTGAAAGGCAGAGCAAACATTCATCAAGACTACACTACCTGACCTCGCCACCTCCTGCTTATCTCCCAAACTAAGATCGCCCCTCCCTCTCTCTGGCACCACAACCACTTTAGCAGATCATTGGAGGTCTGAAGAATCTAGAGACAATCCACCTGATACTTCAGGGCCTTACATTGCCAACCATGCTCCCTAAAAACAGAGAGTTTGCTCTATTACCGTGTACTTTAAGCCTTTGCTCTGTTGCTTGATATTTGTTCATTTCCGTATGCCTGCAGATATATTTTCATACTAATTATTTTATGATAAGTCACACTTATTAAGGGTTTATAGGAATGATTATATCGTTTTTAATGAATGCCTCTCACTTTCTATTTGGCCATTTTGTCTGCAGTAAGAAATGTTAAGTCATTAATTGAGGGTCTTGAGTTTAGTTGCTAGTAATTTTTTACATTTAGATTAATTATAGGCCTAAAACATTATCAATATGTATTTATCAATACAAAAATATTATCATAAATAACAATAATTTAAAATTAAGCTACAAAGCTGTGTAAAAAGTTATTTAAAATGTGCATAAAATTGATGCGTTGCTTTTATATACGGTATATATTGTATTCCCATTGTTGAAACCCAAAGTATATTTAATATTAAACTCTTCGGAATCTTTAACTTGTTAGCACACATTTCATAGAAAATACCTTGCATTTAGGGAGAATAAATAACTTGTTTGCTCCTTACCACTTTGGAAAACTTTATTCACAGGACAGTAGATTGAATAATACGTGTCTAGGCTTCCCTGAGCCAGGTCAAAACATTTACTTAAATATTGTAAGGCTATATTCAGGAGTAGGCCTATGGCTATTTATAGGCTACATTTGAATTGTTCCTATATATTTTGCCTGGGATTGAGGTAGCATCAATTTAATTGACACTTCACATTGAAGTAACATTATAAGTGTTTTATTTTTATTTTCGGCTTAACCTGGGCTTTTATAACCAACAATGAACATTTAACCCTCCTATTGTCTTCGTTCCCCCCCCCCTTACTTTGGTGTTCGCGGTCAAATTTGACCGGTCCTGTTTAAACTGCTATTACATTAACACAAAAACCATTAATCATCACCAAATTTCATTTAACACCCTTTCAAATATTATATTGCACTGCTCTGCTTTCTGCACGGACCTCACAGCTGTTCTCAGTGTAAACATCGCGTCGCAATAATATCCAGGGGATGCATGCAGAGCTGTCATTGGCTGAGATAAGTCCGGCCGTGCGTCACGACTCTTTGAAACATCACTGTTGCCGGAAATACATCCACGGAGGAGCCGTGGAGGAACCATCAGTGTATCCTCGATTATAGTTCCTCCAAAGAGCCTCCTCGATGCTCGGTCCTCGATGTGCATTTAGAGAAATTAGATGTCCTTCAACATGGCGCGCTGAAATCCATTTCCGGGCCACTACCGGAGGACTGAGCAGTCGAGGAGTCGAGGAGGGGAAATTAGAGAATTGAGAAGCCTTTATTGTCTCCCCACTAAATATCCTGCAGATTTGCAGCGGCCAGCATTGATTGTCTTCTGCACCCCGCTCGACGATTTGAAGGAGCGCTCGAAGTCTATTGCGGTGTGGCTCCGCCGACCGTTATAGTAGATCTTGCAAACAGCTAACCGTTAGCATGTCGGATGTAGTGCGAGGCCCAGCAGGGAACAACGACTGTCGGATTTATGTGGGGAATCTCCCTCCTGATATTCGAACAAAGGACGTGGAAGACGTGTTCTACAAATATGGCACAATTCGAGATATCGACCTGAAGAACCGGAGAGGGGGGCCACCTTTCGCCTTTATTGAATTTGAAGACCCCAGGTAAGAAGCTAATGGCTAGACCAGCCCCATTGTGTGGCTAACCGTGAGCTGTCACGGAGCTAGACTAATCCCTGGACTTACTACACATTGCTATGCAAGCGAAGTGTGGTCTTTGCTTTCCGAATTTGTTTTAAACGTGTTTATAAGAAGTGTAGATCATGCTCCTTTAACGAAGTCCTGCTTGTGTTTGCACTGCGTCCTTAATTGTATGTCCCTGTAACATTGGCTAGTTAACAGACACTTTACATTGTTTCTGGCTAGTAGTTGTATCAATGCACGTATAAGGTTACGCAAGTTCATTAATGTATATTGCATTGTGTTCTGATAAATAACACATAACATACATGCACTAATTGAGGCACAATTATGTGTGCACGTCTGCAAGGTGGATTAGCAAAGGTAAACCAGATCAAGCCAGTCGATAGCATGGTTGACCCCGGCTGTAAGTGCATTTCCTCAGCCCATCCTCCACGTGTTAATGTTTAAACTGTACCTCGTTCCCAGGGACGCTGATGATGCAGTTTATGGGCGTGATGGTTATGATTATGACGGCTACAGGCTGCGCGTGGAGTTCCCTCGGAGCAGCAGGGGCTCACGAGGAGCGTTTGGAGGGATCGGCGGAGCTCCCAGAGGCAGATACGGACCTCCATCAAGACGCTCTGAGTACAGGGTCATTGTTTCGGGTAAGTACTAACTTGCCAATATACATTCCTATTACATATTCATATCCATTTGCTGCTTCGTTTGGGGAATGCATCTTTCTGAAGTGCACCTTTTTTATAGTAGTGGGTGCAGTTTTAAGGTAACAAGCTTCGCAAAAAAGTTTGAGCTCCAGTTTGTGAGTTGTCTCCTAAGTTTTAAACTGTACAAGTTGTATCATGTGGATCTGATTCATGCATGCTGTAATAACCTCATAATTCGGGTAACTGACCAGATGACTTGGAAGTAATGAAGTTTGAGTAGACTGTGCTCTAACTTCAGATGAGACGACTTTATTGACTTAAAGGAGAGGTGTCATGCTTTTCCGGTTATTACCCGTCCCCTTGTGTGTTATGAAGGTTTTTATGCATGTAAACGGTGTGCAGAGTCAAAACCCTCAAGCTATAGCGAGTAAAACTCTAACACAGAAAATACCTCCCCAAAACGCCTCGTTGGAGATACGTCATTGTCCATTTGATTCTTCCGGGACAGCATGATGTCAAGCCGTACCCGGAACGAAATGGACCAATCCGTGGAGCCGTTGCGTTACGTCCGCGGAGCTGTTACGTTAAGCCCCCGCTGATTGGTCCAAATTGACCAATCCATGGACTTCCTCACACACACATCTGTGTGCAGGGAGCAGGCAGCTCAGCTGATTTCTCGTCCCTGGCTGCAGGCTGATAACAGACAGTTGGGATCGCGGCGAAATTCTCTCTGCAGACCCATTCTCACAGCGTTTATCAACCTTTTTCTTACTCAATATCAAGCCACACTTATTGTTTTTACTTCGGATGTGAGTTTGTGTGTGCTCAGGATGAGTTTGGCTGTGTTTCGCTATGTATCCTAAACAAGGAAACAACACCTCCACGGAGCTCAGCGCGATTCACAACGTCCCGACCAATCAGAGCACACTGCTCACAGGGAGGGTGGGGGCTGGAGCTTTGGGAGCTACAACGAGCCGTTAAAGGCAGGGAGTGAAATTCAGTGAATACAAGTAGTTTACAGAGATGCTGTATGAGAAACCAATGTGAGTTTTGAAAAATGCACAGTATAAATCTATTTTAGTATACCTCAACAATGGAATTATGATCAGTGGAAATGGCCATGACACCTCTCCTTTAATGCACATACAGCCTTGGTAATAGATGCACGCATGCCTAGACACACTGCATATCACTCCGCACACACAACAGTAACCTCATTACAGTATATGTGCTTGGCGATATATACTACTACTTTATGGGTGAACACTTTGTTGACAGTATTTTTTCTTCCACAGACAAATACAAAAAGACCAGTTATAGTGACAAATGTAATCAGAACAATTATATGTATTAATCTTGATGTTCCAAATTGAAAATTTGCCGGAAAGATAATGCAAAAGAATATTTATTACCTGTGCTATAAGTTAAATTGGTATTTATTTAATATATGTATATATTATTTACATGTAAATCGATGTGTTATTGCGTATATGTGTTATTATTATATATTGTCTGTAAAACTCAATTGCTTGTCTACACAGTGTCTGTCCTAGTTTCCCAAATTCCATTGTTTTGTTTTTTTAAATGTCTTGTTTTGTCAGTCCAAAATCCAAATAAAATGATATAAAATTGCAAATCACGCCACAATTTAACACACGGTACTTGGCTTTATACTATGTTATAAAAACACGTCCGACTAATCAAATGATATCTTAAAACTAAACGTATCCTGCATTTTTAACATGTTTTCTTTTAACTACAGTTGGACTTTACATTCGAATGAATTGAAATGCTGCTGCAACACTCAATCCTGCAGCGTCTGTTTCCAGAAAAAAAGTTCTGTAGTTCTAACATATGTTGACGTTCTCACAATTAACTGTCTAAAGCTGGACAGTGTGCTAACAAAGCTATGGTTGAATGTTTTAGGACTCCCTCAGAGCGGCAGCTGGCAGGACCTGAAGGACCACATGCGTGAAGCAGGCGACGTGTGCTACGCCGACGTCTTCAGAGATGGAAGTGGAGTTGTAGAGTTTGTGCGAAAAGAAGACATGACCTATGCTGTTCGAAAGCTGGACAACACCAAATTCCGCTCGCATGAGGTATGTGTACTGATTTGATCAACTGTCATGGATAATGTTTTTGTTTGCTGTGTCCAGGTGAGTACTTGTGAGGAAATGCTATATGTTCCAAGTACCTCTGGCCCTCATTTCTATCCATGGTATTTCCACCATAGGAAGGAATGTTGCCTTTTCAATGTCAAGTTCTCTTGTGTCTGCCAGGGAGAGACTGCTTACATTCGTGTGAAATTAGACGGTCCCCGCAGCCCAAGTTACGGAAGATCACGCTCCCGCAGCCGTGGCAGTCGGAGCAGGAGCCGCAGCCCCAGCCCCAGCCGCAGCAGAAGCAGTTCCCGGGCCGAGGATCCCCCCGCTACTCGCCTCAACACAGCCGCTCTCGCTCCCGTTCTTAAACCTTTCTACCACCAATGTTTTTGCTCTTTTGATGTACACCTTCTTATTTTTACCTCCTCTGAGTTTCCCCAGAAGTCAGCACTTGATTTTTTTTTTATTTCTGCTTTCCATGTCCCAATGTCCTTGTGTTTTCTCCCACCCTCTCCGGTGGCTTTGTCCTTTTGTTTTTCTCTCTCTTTCTCACCCGTCTTTCTGTCCTTTCAATATTTTTGAAAAAAATAGGAATTGTGCTGAGCTGTCATAAGCTGCACTCAATGTTTTTGCAAGTATTTAAAATTGAGTTTTGTTAAAAAATAAATAAACAACAGCCTCTCTCTCATTTGGATATGTGGGGTGGGCTTTTTCGAGCCCAATGCTTAACTGTATTTTACCCTTGTGTCTTCCTTTAGACTCTGAAGAGAAGGATTAAAGTGATTTGGATAAAACCCATTGTGGAGCACATTTCAATTGTATGGTCAGGATAGGACATCTAATTGAGGAGCAATCAGGTCGAGGCAATGGTACGCTTCATATTCCATAAATTGAACGTTTTGGTTATCATATCATGCATGTCATATTTACCAAAGCTATATGTGCTGTAATTTCTCATATATACAATTTTAAACATGCTACTCTGTCTTGTGACAGAATAAACAGTCCTAGATCAAGTGTTGTGATGTAAGTGTAACATCTTTGCTGTGAAATGTAAGAAAATCTGATGACTTCTTTGTTGCAAAAGCTTCCCACTTATAACTTTGAATGCCCTTATTGGTAAAAAAATGTTTTTTACTTCAGGGAGTGATAGTTTTTGTGCTCAGTGGCATTTTTTTTCAAAAATGAAAAAATTAGGCCCAAAATTCTTGACATTTTATTCTAACAGTCTCCCTCTGATTTTCTTCCTGGTATTTCAAGGTTTTGATTGGAGGAGTGGCTCAGTGGATCCCAATCCTTGGAGCTGGATGAGTGGATCGATTAGGAAAGGGATAGGCAAGGATGGATGCTCGGAACGGGATCAGTTTTTCCAGGATTCAAATGAGTTTGATTTCAGAACTAAATAACAGGAGTCCCAGAGCAACCTTTTTTTCTATTAGGCCCCCCAATGCCTATTTTAAGTTTTTCAGTGGTAATGGCTTTATTTTACAAGAAAACGAAACAGAGGACCAGGAAGTTGGATCAAAGGATGGAGTCGTAGATGCCTGGTATGAGGGAATACAAAATTCGGGAGGTTGGGTGGGGGTTTGTGTGGGAGTAGTTTGTATGTTTTAATTTTGCTTAATCTTGCTTTTTCTCTTAGCGTTTTCAATAAAACACTTTCAAACAAGGACCCTTTTAGTCTGTTTGTATTTGTATCAACAACTCAAATATTAATTCATGTGATCTGTCTAAATTAGTTGAATGCTATTTTTTTTCCTTAAAGTAAATTAGCCTGGTACATGGCATTTAACTAATTTCTAACCACAAAATTCCTTTTAAAGGTAGGGTAGGTACATTTGAGAAACCGGCTCGATATCACTAGAATTTGAAAATACACAACCGGAGAAAATCTGCCACTTCCTTATAGAGCCCCTCCTCCAACACATACGAACGCAAATGAGGGCACGAGATACGTTTGTGCACAGATGGAAGGCTGACAGGCAGGTTGGCCATCCAGTTATTTTAGCCGGGCCGGCTAAAATGATTGGTCGTGCTTTTTACAGTATTACGGCTTCCACAGATGAATTTTTTTTATGGATTTTTTGTCAAAGCACTTAAGATATTCATTGCTATCGGGATGTTAAGAGCATTCCATGGAATATAACAAAAAGTGTATCTCGAGCCGGTTTCTCAAACTTACCTACCCTATCTTTAAGAGTGAATTAAAAATATATTTCTAAAACTATAAAGGAGCAGGAAATAAGGCTGATTAAAAATTATACGAATTTAAACGCCACCAACACAATAGCAGTGCATATGTTTAGTATTCAAAGCTCTAGAGTCTCAGCTGTGACGACAACCGATGAAAAAGCCTTTACACACAGCCAAACGATACCTAACCACGGCCAAGGTCTCGTTTCCTTGTAGCCCACAGTCAGTGGTGTATACTGTGAATGATGCATTGTGGGATGAAATAAGATGCCGGCAGACAGGAGCTGGAGAAAAACGCTTGCAACACACGGAGGCTGCGGCTCAGCCAATGACAGGGGGCAGCATGCAGCAGAGGGGCGGGGAGCTGCTGGAGCACAGCACAGAGAGCCAACCTGCCTACATGCTTATTGTGTAAATCTTTAAAAAGCAATTAGCCGCAGCATCATCTGAACCTTCCCCCCTGGCTGGGTGAAATACATATTTTTTGGAAAGAAGTGTTTCCCTTCGCTACAACAAAAGGTGAGTTGCAGATTCTGTAATGTGAAAAATATTGACTTGCATGTCTTGATATATTTCTGTTGCGAGTTTCTCTTATGATGGTGAGCTTTCTACTGTATGCCTTGTTGTATTCCGACTGTTTAGTCATGTGGACTGTACTGGAAGGGATAGCAGCAAGCTTAGTACTGCGAGCATATCATTAATAAGATACATTCTGATACTAATGGTCTCCTGATGCAGAAGCTGCTTTTATCTGAAAGTGATTTTGCCAAGTAATTTAACTCCACCTGTATCAAGTTTCGCAGCCAATCTATGCAACTGTCAAATCATCCCTTTAGATACGAATATATAGCGTACAACACATGACCTTAAGTAAGGACTGTGAATCAGTGCACATGATAGAAAACTCTGTGCCAAACGGGCAATCTTCTGCGTATGATTGATGTTTTTGGAAGGTCCTGCTGGCTGGCCTAAACATCCTCATCACCACGTGCGGTGTTCATTTTCAGTGCAGTGATCGTGCTCCTTTTTCTCCCCAGGCAGGCGATATCATCACACACAACCATGACTGACAGAAAAGCTGTGATCAAGAACGCAGACATGTCCGAGGACATGCAGCAGGACGCGGTGGACTGTGCCACCCAGGCCATGGAGAAGTACAACATAGAGAAGGACATCGCAGCCTACATCAAGAAGGTGAGACGGACTGGCAGCATGGATGCTTACATCATTGGCACATGATGTGCAAATTCAAAGCCTTTTTTATTCTTGGATCTATTTTTGGTTAAATGGGGAGACAAGGCTCTTATGATCAGGGCCGTAGCCACTAGTTTCTTCTTTCAGATGTCACAAGTCCACAAGCCCCGCCTCCCAATCTACCAACACAACATTTTGATACCATACAGAAGAATATTTGATGTTCTCTTATTTTTCAACTTAAAATGTATCTTTACTTTATCTAGCTGCAATCAAACAGGCCATCACTATCCAAAGTGCTTCACAGATGATTGGAAAGCCATACAGTCAAACGTAACACATTTATGAATTTGAAATATAAAAGATAGAATAGACGCTGAAAAGAAATAATTGTAATCGTAGTTGTCAGTTTATCATTTTTCTTGATGCTGTAAGGGCCTGTTTCACTGATCTTCTTCTTTTGACATGTTTTAGGAGTTTGACAAGAAGTATAACCCCACCTGGCACTGCATCGTCGGGAGGAACTTCGGCAGCTACGTCACCCACGAGACAAAGCATTTTATTTACTTCTACTTGGGCCAAGTGGCCATCTTGCTCTTCAAGTCTGGCTGAGACGTTTCTGATGTTTGTTGAGGAGTTTTGCTCCCTGAACCTAAATCGGAAAGAATTAGTGGCTGATGTCTCCCATACACTAATAACGACATACCATAATGACGCAGACCCGGCCGTGCGCAATTGCATGGACTATACCCTATTTAATATGTATGTTTCAGTAAGTTTACTTTTTGATAGTTGCCATTTGAATGCAACTGAAATAGTTTTTGTTGATGCTGTTAAATTCTAGGTTGTAAAATATGTCAACGTGGCCCTTGATTGTATAATAAAGGAAAGCTGTAGAATGTAGTGGTGCATTTGCTTTCCTTCACAAATGACATTGCCAGACCCAGACTCCATCTGTCGATTTAGATGGTAAAAATAATACTGCGTGCACCGGTTTAACAATTCATTATCAACATTTAAACGTGTGATCATGAAAAGAGGTTGGTTAATGAGACTAAATAGTCTTCTAACGTGTTAATTCATGACCTTCCTTTGGTTTCAACGTGAACAACAGCATTAGATCAGTTTATGACTGATATGTTAATTATGCTGTCTGTAGATGGGAATACAACATCTTATAGTTTCATTATGGGTTTAAAATAATAATAATGTCCACTGGCTTTCAGAATTTTTTTTATGTTGCAACATCTAACATACTTTACATTTTGGAGCCAACACAAGCCAGTGCACACATTTCTAGTTTGTCAATTTCACTGTGAGGGACAATGGAGCATATAATGCTCAAAAACACAGACTTAAAGCTTGTAAGTTTGACTAATTATGCTACAGACTGGTTACCAAACTCCTACAACTCAACAATCTGCATGTTTGGAGGTTACACACCACCATTTATTTAACTGTCAGCAGACATCAGACACAAACAAAAGCTCATCTTTAATTGTTGATTATGTAGATTTTGGACTGAGCCGATGTAAAGAAGGTGATTTAGAACTTCTGCAGTCAACTGTACCAAGGCTCCCAGCAACCCTGTGTTTCAGATTGTTGTATCGTTGTGTGTGGCTCGTTGTTTTAAGTTGTATTAACCCCAATCTTTATTTTGCATTGCCAGTGTTCTGCCACACATGCAAGAAAGACGAAGCCTTTAGGAGTTCTTCTTAAAGCAATTGTGAGGAGGCGCATCCCTTATCTAGCACAACAATTTGGGTAATTTTATTTTGTTGGCATTATACGTTTGAAAGGCAATGCGTAATGTTAGGAATCTTCACGAGGGCAGATTAAAGGGGTTTAACCTCTGGCTGGATAACACCACACATTTCTCGCTGTGTGTAAATACTGAATGTTTTTATTTGCTCTCTCCCATAATCCAACAATGGGTAAATGTGTATCTCAAGTGTTGGCTTGGATTGACATTGAGGGAAGTCTTCCTAACTATTGTCAATGTAAACTGATTAAGTATTGTTTTCCTCTGGCATGTTTTTTTGCTGTGTATATGTAGGAGCCGTTCCAATGCTGTTCGATTTGCACA